TGTACTTGAGGTATATTTTCACTTATACCAGAGTCGCTGCTGTTCCACTGTTCTACAGTTCATCCCAGATCTTACCTTTAAGCCATGACACCAGTAGGATGAAGATTTGGACAACACCTTTAATGTATTTCATGTTCTAATTTTTAAGGACTAAAACCAAGATGCATGTTAAACTCCACTCTTAACGTTTTCACTTATGATGAAACGGTGGGAGTGGCTTCTTGTGAAGGTCATGTGTTTGTTCCTACACTCTGAGTCACTGTTTGGGTAAATGGAGGTTTAGGATTTAAGAGGTTTTAGAGTTAAGAGTTACGATTAGAGTTGGAGAAAGACTAAGGATTACATATTATATATATGATAGTCAAGGTGAATGTAATGGATATGTTATGGCAATGTATTATAGAGAGAGAGAGGTGTACATTTATTGATATTAATTATATAATGTAGTGTATAAAATTATATCATTTATTGTAAAAAAGCGATATATATATATATAATCAGAAAAAACATTTAAAGACATATGTACAGTATATATATCTATATTTGTGTGCATATATATGAGTATATATTTGTGTGTGTGTGTAAATACACACACACACACACGTATACATATATATACAGTACATACACACACACAAACAAAGAGAGGATATAAATAACAAAATGCTGCTGGTCTTTGGCCACAAATGCATTGTTCTAGATGACAGTGTCAGAGTGTAGACCTGTGTAGGACGGTGTGTCTCCAGTTGAGCTGTTTGTGGTTCTTTTTCCTTTATAGTGAGTGTGTCTTGTTTCTCAGTGCAGAGCTGCAGGCTGTGGTAAGGCGGGAGGTTAGTCACCTCTTACATGTCTCAGAACATAGATAAAGAACAGGTCTGTGTGACCACATCCTCTCCCCCAACGACACTGTCTCCTCCTGATGATCCATTTACCTACAACAGTCTTGTCCCAAGTATAAAAAGAGTTGACTTCCTTTTTTGTCAATTGCTCTTCATAAAGCAGTTACAGTAATAGCATAAAGAAAATATAAATAATGATTTTTTTCCCGATCAACCATCCCAGTCATTCATCCATCAATCAACGTACAGCCTTTAACTCTATTTTATGTGATTGATGTCAGGACAAACTCAACTCAGGACTCATGAGAAAATACAAAATATATTTATTGAATACAAAATGAAAACAGTAGAAAACTGAGTACACACAAAGTACTCCTCAGCTCCTCCCTCAGTCGTTCTGTTTTTAAAGCCTGAAAAAGAGGATAGATACTTAGTAGTGACTCAGGCTTTATTTTTGGATTTAAATTTATAAAAAATTGTGTTCAACCTACATAGACTGGAAAGACCATAAACGCTGCATAGATGCTGCTCTTGACGATGAAGACCACATAGGAGAGTTTGGCCTTCTCTGTGCTCCTTGGATATCCTTCTGCACGTATAAAGGAGTTGCATTAAATCAAACATCAATTTCTGGTGGTTAAGACAGATGACGTTAGAGAAACATTATTTACCTTTGAAGTTGAACCACTCATCAGCTAGTGGATAAAGAGAAAGTAGGGTAGACTGAATCAGAACTTTTGTCCACATGTGTCCAAATCTGGTTTAAGTTTTGACCATCCCTTCTACGCCACTGATTGTGTTTATAACATTGATGGTTTTCTCCATTAAAGAATATGACGATACATCTGAAGTCCTTCTCAGGGTTGAACCAGTCTTCAGCAGAGACTCTCAGTCTGCTGGTGATCTTGTAGAACTTGCTGTCTCTTTGGGCAAACTTGTCCCTTGCTACACCTCTGGTGACATTGTTCCTGTCCACCTGCCATAACTCTGAGACCACACACAGTAACGTCTTCTTCTTCTCATTGCGACACTCTTCTGAAGATGGACCAAGTATCTTGACTTTGGGTTCTTTGACGTCATGTTCTGGTGGAGAAAGGATTGAAGGAATAAGTTAAAGCTGGAGAAAATGAGTCCTGGTCTCAGAGTGAGTCACTCACTGTGACTGCACTGTTATGAGCCAAAACCTTCTTTTGTTCAGTATATTTACATGGAAACATGGGCTTCACTTTTATAACTTATATTACAATGTACTTATTCAAATGAACTTATGAACTACATAATTTTAATAATCAAATTCAATTTCAATTCAGTACTTTCTTAAGTGTGGCTATGATGTTGATATTTGACATTGATTGAGTTTGGTTCGGCAACAAAATTTAAGTCAATAGTATATGTTGAGAAACCAAAATTGTCAACCCTATATGTAATTGTTGTATTATTTGTTTTTCAAACAGCAATGACTTCATTTCAGTTTAATAAGTTTAAGTGTATCATTTAAATAACATACATTTAACAACTGTTTTTCCTTCTACATGCTAATTTAAGAACATTTTCCAACAAGCCAAATAAACATCTTTATAACATTGAGTTTAAATTAATTATATTAAACATATAATTTAATGCTGTACTCACCAAGAATTGTGAACTTGTTCCTGGGCCAAATTCTAATTGTTAATTCTTAATGTACACAGTGGTGTAAACTGCTGCCCAGAACCTTTGGACATAAACGCAAAAGCAAAAAAGTATAGTTTACCGTTTTACCAAATGGTTAGAAAACATTTCAAGCTGTTTTATAAAAACTGATTTTGTCTCTGTTTTTATCGCTGCTTTGTGGAAGTGACATCGATCCTGGACACGCCTCTTTGACCACCCACTAGTCTGTCTCTCCAAGAGTGATTGGTTCCACTGAGGAACATCTACTTTACATTAACCCAGAACAGCTTTATACTAAAAGTGAAGCTCCAGCTCTAGTACTGGAACAAACTACCAACCTACCAAAAATGTGTAATAACTTACAATAATAATACTGTGCATCTCAATGGTGGCTTTTAGCCGTTGTCCTCAACAATATTTATCATTAAATGACCACAGATTGGGTCACTCTGGGTGTCTGTCTGGGCCACATATGGCCCATGGACCACAATTTAAATAGGCACTGTAAAAATGGTCTTCTGCTTGTTTTTAAATGCACAAATAGAGAAACACGTATTTGCAGTAGCTGATGATCAAATCATTTACTATCTAAGGTACTAAGGTACTTGTCGTGCTTGCGGTTAAAGGGAGTTTGGAAGAGGGGAATTTCCCTAAAAAGATAAGGTGACAGAGAGCTCATTAAATTTTGAGTAGAAAATAAAAACCTAAGTGAACAGCATCAAACTGAAGCAGATGAGAAAAAAGTAATAATAAAAACATGGAGAGGATTTAGGATGATTTCCTTTTTTATATAATATATCACCGTTGCTTGTGGCTGAATAGGATGTTTTTCCATTTTAGGCTTTTGTCAGTCCATTATCCAGGTTTTGAACTATCTCCTGCTTTTTTTTTTTTTATCTCCTGCTTTTTTTTTTCTTGTACAGTGCTCTTTTTGGACAATGCCATCTCAGCAGGCTGTTGTTGTAAGGTTGTGATCTTGTTCAGATGATTTGGTTCTCATTGAAACGTACAGTTGAAAGAGGTGAGGAGAGTACACTGACTATCATTGTGTTTCAGTGTTTTTAACCAGATTACAATCAGGTTGGTGTCTTCAAGCTCCGGGCCTCTCCTCTGTTCATGTGTGAACCTCCTCTAACAAACCAAACAAGCCACAGGTCCTTCTCTCCTGTTGGTATTTGTATGTCTCTCTGTTCTGTGTGCTACACTGTGTTTGGCAGCACAGTAGTAGACGCTGCTGTCTTGCAGGAGTGCCTCAGTAATCACAAGAGAGAAGTTGTTGTTGATGGAGTCGATGATGGACTTGATGTTTCCCACGCTGTGGCTATATTCATTAACAAGATGCACCACTGGACCTCTGTAGTGGTTCTGTTTGTACCAGTACATAATTGCTCCTTGCATCGTCAACTGTGGCCCCAGGCTGCACCCCAGCATTACTGTAGTTCCTGGCAGACATACTTGATCCCCAGACTGCAGAACCAAAGTAGTGACACCTGTAATATTCCAAATACTTCAGAAGAGGTTTTAAAAAATGTGACCATTCATTTAAAAGAAAAGAGGACTGACCTGAGTGTAGAAGAACTGACAGGTGAAGGACTTTAGTGAACATAACACAATTCACACAATGTTGCATTGTTAAAGACTCTCCCTCTCTTTTTGATTGAGTTTTCTGTGTTGGGTTAGGTTATCGTAGACAAAGACAACCCACAGAAGTTATCAGTGCTCTTGTCACATGGTCTGAGTGGTTTCCTGTTATGGCTTCATCAGCCTGCCATATGTTTTTCTGTTACATGAAGCCATATTTTTCTCTACCACTGTGCACTATGCTGCTCCAAAATAATCAGCTTTGCGCTCAGAATGATGATGCCATACTGTAGTTTAGGATATTGTGTGTTAAGCTCAACTTGCCTTTGCAGGCAAATCTTGTGGCGTTTGAAACTAGCGTCCTTACTGACGTAAACACCTGTCCAGATATGAAGAAAAACAATATTAGGAAGTGCATACATTTTGAACATTCAAATGGAAATATTGGGATGAATAAAGTCTTATCTTTACACTGTAATGAACCTTTATTAAAGGTCGATGACAAAAGAGTTGGTGTGATGTTGAAAGAAAGAATCTTCTAGGAGTATTGAGTATTCACTGAGAATGATGTGCTGACATCACAGCGCCTAAATACAACAATAATACATTAATACAAAATAAAATGAAGATAAATATTACTTTATATTCATTATCAAGCATGGAACACAGAGTACCGTGAAATTTGGGAATCGATTACATTTCAGGTCTGAACATACATGATTATGTACATACATGTTGTCAAAGGTCTCAGATATGATTTCAATTGGTAGAAAAAGTTGCTACTGATTTGGATCAACAGAAAGCAGTTGGCTGGCGACAGTATTTTGGAGACAATAATCTGCGAGAAAGCGAAGTGAACGTTGTGCAATCACGGTTCAGC